CGCCGAAAAGGAGCGGACATCCCGCTCGACCTGAAGCTGCGCCGTGGCATAATCGGCGCGATCCCTCGCCCGATCAGCCTCGTGATCCTTGCGGTTCTTCCGCACGGTGTCGGTCAAAGCGTAGCGTCGGTCGCGCTCGTGCTTCAAGTCATCGCGCAATTCATCGATTGCGCGATCCATCTCGTAAGGGTCGAGATGGTGGGCCTGGGGTTCTGGAGGAGGTCTTTCCTCCTCCACCACATCCTTTGGTGGATGCTCACGGTGATCAACGCTTTCTAGTGGAGCGTATCTTGAATCACCGTGACGATTCAGGATCAAGGACGAGCTACCTCGTCCAGTGGCGGGGGTATCCACCCTCTTGGAACAGCTGGGAGCCCCGCTCTCAGCTGTTGATGGATGTTGAAGGTCTCGTCCGCCAGTATGACGAGACCCATCCGATGAGTCCTGTGGCCCATCGGTAAACACGCGCCCTAGGCGCTTGTAGACGGATTGCAAGTTTGCAATCGCGTCACGCATCTCCTCCGAGAGATGTGCCCTTCCCCAGGGCGAATTTAGGGAGTACACATCCCTATGTGCACGCTGCGAGTTGTCAACACAACTCGCACAAGGGTCTCCCCATGTGAGGCAAGGAATGCCTGCCTCACTCGATAAACAATGCAACCGGTACCTTGCACCGGTTGGCGTTCGCCGTTCGAACCTGAGGCGTGTTGCCTCAAGTTTCTTGAGCCACCCTTCTCGTCCAAAATTCTTTACGTTTTGGACGAACGCGTTCCACGCAGCCAAAAGCGATGTTTTGTCACGCTTTTGGTTGCTATTGTACCATCGATGTCTAAGGAAGACATCGAGATAAAAGTCTTCTTCAGCGCGAAAGTTCTTCGCGCTGGGATCCAAGCCGTGAAGCTCAGTCGCATCGAATAAGGGTATTCGATGGTGTTGGCCTGTCTCGTGAGACAGGCTATTGATGAGTTGTTCGGGCAAACGCCACGGCTTCAACTCATCACGCTTCACAGTGGTACCCTTGTCGGTACCACGGTTGTCAGTATGACGATGGCTTGCACCATCGTCAAGTCGCTCGTGCGAAGGAGCACGAGTTGATCGCGGTGATGAGCAATCATACTCATCATCTGACTCATCATCACTGCCGAACAGACTGTGACGCATGTCACGAGTCCGTACGTCCGGCAGTGGCCTTGGCGAATACTGAGGCGTCGCCGGTGAGCGAGACGCCTCTGGAGCATTGCCCGAGTCAGACACGTCTGACTCGCCAGAGTAGATGACCTCCACATCGGGGTCATCGTGCGCACGCGGCGTGATACCGCGTGCACCTGCAGCACCTGTTGCTGCAGGCGAAGAAGGGGCGGCAGACGACGAAGCGTCTGCCGCAGAGGCTTGCACAGCACCAGGCTGTGTGGGTCTTGAGTCACCTCGCATAGACATGTTACCTATGCGAGGTCAAGCGGAAAGTGAGTGGAACGGACCAAACAAGTGCTCCCTGTCCCAATGGTGGCCAACGGGTGGCCTCCATATTTCGATAGTCACACGGTGACTATCAGTTAAGGGGGGGTGATGTAACGGGGCAGCCCGTTACATGATATTGTCACTTAAGGAAAGTGACAATAAAGAATATAAAGATGGATATTCTTTAAAACAATATCACCAAAGTGGTGATATTGAAGGGTCGACCAAAGGGTCTGTTCATTGGTTGATATCGTGATGATATCAACCCACCAATCACCGCAAGACGCGCGCAATGAGTGGTGACGAGACGTCACCATACATGCAGTTATATTAGTATAATTGAATTAAGTCAAACGAAGAGACAGTAGTTTAAAGACTTAATTTATTAATATAACAGTTCTACTTTTACCCTACCTACGCTTCCTCGCTCGCCACGTGTACGTCCGTCGGGGCACCCAAATCCCTTGCGTTAAGTTACGCAAGGGTGTGCCCCGTTACAATCGACATGACACGAAGCACTAATCACTGCTGTACGGAGGTCGCTGCCGCACGTACTCTGTCACTTCAACCGAGTTGGTTGTGGCTTCTGTTTGTCTTCTACTGGTGATTGTTGTAGCAGATAGCTGTCGTGCTATTGCAGCGTTGCGTCGTCAGCTGTCTTCGAAGGCGTACAGCGCTTGCAGAGCTGCAAACAGAAGCCATCTGACTTGGACTTTACCACAGCGTCGACAAACAGAAGGTCGTTCGCTGCGTTAGCCACATGTAAGCGACATGTCAGTGTTTACCAAAAGGCTGAAACACCCAGCGTAGCTCAACAAGATCAGCCTCAACCATCTTGTCGAACTACAGTCGTACACGCTGGGCCAGCGCTATTGCTACTCCCTTACACGTCGCGCAGACTGAGTGTGCTGCATCAGCACGATCTGCATTGGTAACTGTCGACTCGCAAGCAAATGAGCGGCACAAGCGCACGCAGTCTTTCCCAATTCAACAACAAAATCGCTCGTTTGTGACAGCGCCTTTACTTGCGAGCAAGCCCTGATCCGGCACGCTGATTGGAATGCCCGTAAACAAACGTGGGCATGTCGAGTCTTCTTGTACACCCCACGAAGCGTCTGCATATCGCAGTTTTAACACCATTCCTGTCTGTCATCCTGGATGTTTTTCCGGGACTCAGATTCAAATAGAGATCTGCTCGCGACATTCGTCCACGTCGCGGGCGCACGTTGGCATATGCGTGAAGGACAGAGAGCATACGTGAATTTGGCCGCTGTTCGTTTAGTTCGACTCGACTTCCCCCGATCGACAACGCTGCGTGCCGTCCTGTCCCCGCTCTTCTTTCTGGGCGCATGATGTGCTTCTACTCGACAAAAGAAGGAACACTTTCTGGTTCTCTTTTCTACTCGAATGCGTGTGCCGTCTTCCCCATAGCTGTGCTGGGACGCCGGCATGTGCATCATCATCTCCACTGCTGTACTGGAGGCCTTCCACTCACACGTACATCCTCTTCCGACACGATCGTACTAGCCATGTACGAATGACACGTGACGGGGACAATCGTGCGCGCGACAAACGTCGCGAGCAGAATTTGTCGCTGCACTAGAGCTATCCGTGACGAGGGCGCCAACCGCGCGAGATCGTTGCATCGAAGCGAACGTGCGGGCACTTGCGCTGCAATTGACGTCCGAAGGCGGTTCCCTCAGTCGAGACTCTCAGCTTGTCAGAAGCCGTCGATAATGTATGGAGCGAGTCGGTGAGACACGTCTGGACGTTTCGACGACACGAGTGTCACCTGAGCCGTTTCACGCGGCGTGACAGCCGTAATCGGCGATACTGCAACGTGCGACACGCTCGCGTCTGTGTGGCGTCGACCGAGTACAACGCAACATTCGGTGAGCACGTGCCGGACTGGGAGCGTCATCATTACTTCCGGCTGTAGTGCAGAAGGTGCAGCTTTGATGCACAAGTGGGCGTGTTGCCGTGCAGAGACAGAAAGGTGCGTTGCGACACTGCTTCGAGCGAGTCGCGCAAGGATCAGTTTGGCAGCGACGGACTGACGGACTGTGCACCCAGACCGACAAAGTACGTTGTCGGCGAACCCCGTTTCTACGTCCGTGTGCGCTCGAATGCTCAGCGCTACTCTGGAAGGTGTCGAGCCCGTCGTGACAAAAACAACGTGGTGTGTCTTACCAATCACGGGATCGAGCGGTGGCTGGCACAATGCAGAGGCGCCGACCGCTCGCTCGCTCATGCGTTAGTTATGATAGGACCAGGGCAGATGGTTGCAAGTATCGAGCGAGCGAACGCGACGGCTCGCGTCTATTCCGTCCAGAGCAGCATGACAAAGTTTGATGTGTCTGGTCCGCAGTCACTGCACATGTTTGCACTAAAATGCGTCGTACGTTTCACTCACCCGAATTGAAGTTCGCGCTGTCGCGCGTCGTTGGAACCGACTGTATCCAGCTGGCAGGGGCCGTCGGCATGGCAAAGCTCCGTACGACAGATAAGTTTAGCAGTCCGACACAGCCTATTGCGGGGACAGAGAGAAGGCGCCCGTCCGTCGTGGGCGAAAGCGGGGCACATGGACGAATGTCACGGAGACCGCATGTCTGTGTTCAAGCTCTTCCAGCACACCTCGAAGCATGTGCACTGCTCCCGCTGCGTTAGCCCGTGCACAACGGGACGAGTGCGTTCAGTGAATGATGAGGCCCTACGCAGTGAGGAGGCGACTTGCACGAAAAGAAAAAACTGGTCATCGTTTCGGAGGGTTTCACTCCAAAACGCTAAACTTCATGTCGAACTCAGTGTCGCATCGCAAGTTGCCGGTCAAGACCGAGTCGTTGCATCTCGCCACCGCACGTCGTTGCAGCATGCAGTGCAGGGAGTAGAGTAGTAGGAGTAGCAGTAGCACGACAAAGGACAAAAAGGTGGTGCTGTCCATGTTCGTCTCTGGACAAAACGAGTCACGCGGTCCGCTGTTGCTGCTGCACGTGCGACTGCGAGGAGGTGGCCTGAAAGAGAGCCGGTTTCATGACACGACCCCCACGTCTCTCATTGGTTGAGGCCACCTCTCGTTCGACTCGGTTCATTGGCTGAGATACTCGCAACCCTCGAACGCGCTTGTCTCATCGAGTCAAGTCAGACAAGTCACTGGAGCTGTCCGGATTGGTAGTCAGTTCTGGTTTGGAAACGCGCGCGGGAGCAGGCGCTGCTGACGTTTGCCCGCACACTCGCCTACTTGCCCACTCCTGCTCTTTGCACCGACCCAACCAACGAACGAACGAACGAACGTACGTACCTATGTGCGTCTCGACTCGCTTGAGCTCCGAGTAGAATAGCCATAGTCAAATAGCCGTAGCAGCAGGTGCAATTGAACTCGTATGTGTGCGTGTGTGTGTGTGCGCGTGATTCTAACTACGCTTGTCGTGTCTGTAGCTCGTTTCGATCGTGTCGGTAACAGTCACTCTACCACTTGGAAGAGAAACGGGGTGACGTGTCAGTGCTCGTTGTTGTACAGCTCACACTTTCGATCGGCAGTCTGGATGGCGCCGAATACGAACGTCAGTGGAGACGTGTGTATCGAGGACTGTCGTAGCAGTCTTCCGCTCGACAGTTATGACGTCGTGAGCCCGCGCAGTAGCAAGCACGATCCGGAGGACGTGGTTATTCTCTTTGATTGGGGTACGCTGCTATCTCTCGATCGAATCGTTGCTATCGCCACGGGTCGTCTCACGCTCTTGCTTGATGTATGCACATTTTGTTTCGTCCATCTTGTAGACGATACGCTCATGGCGTCGTCAGCGATTGCCAAGCACGGGCTTTGCCCCAAGTACATTAACGAAGAGCCAGAGATCCCGGACGACGTGCAAGCCGAGCTAAAGGAGCTGGAAGAGTCGGTCGTGCAGCTCCTGGAGACCGCGCTGTCGTATGGCCGCGTGGTCATTGTGACAGCAGCTGAGACTGGATGGGTGGAGCTCTCGGCGTCGCTCTTTATGCCGCGCCTTGTGCCGTTCTTCGACACGCGGATCAAAGTTGTCTCAGCGCGCTCGACGTACGAGTATTTGTACCCAGACTGTCCGCGCCGATGGAAAGTGGAGGCGTTCAACAATGAGGTGTTTCCAGTGTGGGAGTCGTACAACGAAGAAGACTCGGCTGGAATTCCGCGGCATGTCATCTCGCTCGGCGACGGCCCTACCGAGCGCGAGGCGCTGATTAACGTCAAGATGCAGGCTATGGACGCGTGTCATGGCAAGTCGATGAAGTTCATTGCATACCCGAAGATTAGCGACTTGCAGCTCGAGGTGGAGCTCATTCATGCCAACATGGAGCACTTGTGCACGCACGAGGGAGACCTGGACTTGCAAATTACATGGGAAATGCTCAACAGCAGCGATTGATGACCTCGAGAATGCCATTGACGTGTCTCGCTGGATGGAGATAGACGACGGCTGCACGTGGCTACCGGATGGTCGGCTGCTGCTTGGAAACTGTAGGAATAATGTAAAGTACGTCGTCGGCTCATATACGTTTCCAGGGAGAGCTCAACCTAGACGTTGTCACAAGAGAAGGCCAATGCAAGCGGAACAGCGGAGAAGAACGCGTGGACGACATCAGAGAAAGATCCTTGAGGAGGACACGGACGACGATGCTAGCGATAGTGTCCGCGTGTTGCGCTGGTAGCTAGAGATGCACAATGCCATTCTGTCACTTGCTGTCATGACTGCCGCGACTGCCTGCGTCCCTGTACTGTACATGTAGAATAACTGCTGATAAACACCACCACATCATGTTCTTTGCGTGGAGTTCTCAGCACTTGCATCAATTACCACTTTGGTGCAGCAGCAGTGAGTCAGTGCGACAAGCCGTCTACGTCAGTTGAGTGGGAGCAGCTTCAACTGCACTCATCAGCAGTGCACCAGTCCATCCGACTCAGTCGAGACCAAAGTGGCGGGGGCTCTCATCCTGGTCACACACGCAGCATAATGCGTTCCGTACCTGCCTGCACGCAGTCTCAGCTGACGCCAATGAAGTTCGTCTCACAGCCCATTTACTACCGTGCAAAAGAGCGCTATGTGTGGACATGGCGTGCTGCCAGCGTCTGCAACAGCTCTGCGCACGACCTTCTGGTCCCCACTGGTGTCGCCCCAATCACCGACACCTCTTCTTGTACCAGCAGGAGGAGGCAGATCGAGGCGCGATCGCTCGAGCTCGTCACGACACAAACAGGGGTCAATCCAAAGCCGACACACCCAAGAGAGCAGAAGAAAGACACGACACGACAGTGCAAGACGAGCAACACAGAGACCTTCAAGTGCCCGCGCCTACCAACGACGGACGCGGCAAGAAACAACTTGACTCGAGCTTAAAAGCTACGACCCCAGTGAAGTAGGTCCATACGGCCTCTCGGTCTACTGGCTCGCGACGGCCGCGACCATAGCCGCGTGCGTGTCGAGGCCAATCTGCGCGTCGAGTTTCTCCTGCGAGCCGTCGGCCGCCGCCGCGAGCTGCGCCTGGTACGTGGCCAGTCCCGCGTGCGCCGCCTCGGCGTCAATGTCGTCCACTTTCACGAGCTCCACGCACGCAATGTCCGTGACCGAGTTGGCGTGCGTGAGCGCAAAGCCGCCGGCCGTGAAGAAGCTGTGCACGTCCTTCTCGCGCTCCACGTGCACTTTGATCACGCCGGGCTTGAGCTGCGCCAGCACGGGCGTGTGGCCGGCCGTCACGCCGTACTCGCCCACGACGCCGGGGATCTGCACGAGGTCGACTTGCGCGTCCTTGTAGAAGGCCTGGTGCGGCGTCGTGAGGTTGAGCGTCACTTTGGTCGCAGCAGCAGCAGCCGCAGATGCGGCGTCGGTGGCAGCAGCGGAGCGACGGGCCGACGTGTGGAGCGCGCGGGCAGCGGTCGACAGCATGTTTGGTGTCTTGATGGGGTCGGTGCGTACTTAAGGAGGGAACGAGGGGCTTTCGACGACTGTATGCCTTTTGGGTGAGTGGGTGGGGGGGGCGCGAGGAGTGGTGGAGGGCGTATTTACGAGCGCTTGCGTCAAAACGACGCACCTCTGGCGTGGCATAATGTGGGCCGTGACGCTCTTTTGGTTGTTATATTCCTTCTTCCGTGTGAGCAGATATGTTTATGGATGTTTATTGATCGCGTCGGTTGACAACCAACGACAACTGGTCCAGCAGCGTCCCCTCCTCTCCCTCTTCGTGTGGTACCCACCCACCCCCCTCTCCTCCAGCCGCCATGTCGAGCGACACACACAAGCGACTACATCTACAGTGCATCGTAACGGGGGCTCGATAAGAAGTCGTCGCACATCCGCCTCAGTCCATCGATGCAAAAGCTGCTACCACCTGCACGTCGACTGCGTCACAGGACGCACAGAGGCAGACAGACTCTGCGTGTCCAGACGACGACAACAACAACAGCGACTGTCTGGTACTGCAGCCAGCCAACCAGTCGACCAGTTCCGTTGCCCGGGGCCCGTCGTCGCTGCTTCCGCGAGAACTGCTCGCACTTGCTCACTTCTTCTTGTGATGTGAGCCATTGGCAGAGTGGTCCTGCTGCGAGTCTCGCAGCGCCTCTGCTTTCCGGACCATCGCCTCGCGGTCGAACGTGGTCTTGGGGTGTTTGCTCGTATAGTGCAACTCGTACGACTTGATGTCGGGGGACGCGCTCTGGTCATTCATTGCCATACACAGCACAAGTGAGTGGCACAGTCCCAACAATTGTGTCGTTCCCCTCTCTCGCTCGCTCATACGACAGACATACCATGCAAATGTCGCACGTAAAGTTGAGCTTCGCCACCGCCCGCGTCGCGGCCCCCGTCTTGCCGCCGCCTTTGTTCACCTGTTTCTGCCGACGCTCGAGGTCGGCCGCCGTGTGCTTTTTGAACTTGGCCTTGCCGCCCATCTTGCCGCTCAGTGCGCTTCTTTCCCGCTGCTACGTCGTGTACCCACTCGTCGTCTGACTCGGCTTCCTCGTTCTTGGGCAATGAAGTGCCTCCTCACGACAGCAGGCGACTGGTTCAAAACACGAGCGAGCGGCTCCGGACCGGTCCGAACCGCACGGCAGACCGTCCTGCCTTTCATCACCAGCCGGGCGGCCAACACGAACCCCCTCGGTCGACCGACACGAACCCCCTCGGTCGACCGACACGAACCCCCTCGGGCGGCCAACACGAACCCCCTCGGTGGACCGACACGGTTCCCCGTCGCACTCGCGCCATCCGCACCTGCGTGCCGCGATCCCTTCCACGGTCACGAAACAAAGTGCTTTTTGGGTCCCCGCTCCCTCGCCCGAACGACCTCCCCACCATCCCCCGTTCCCCGATCAAACATGCGCCAGCCCGTGCCCGGCACCGGCGGCGCGACGCCCCTAAACGTCTGCGAGTTCCACGAGTACGCGCGCGCGTACCTCCCGAAGAACGCGTACGACTACTACGCGTCGGGCGCCGACGATATGCTGACGCTGCGCGAGAACCGGCGCGCGTTCGAGCGCCTCGTGCTGCTGCCGCGCGTGCTGCGGGACGTGTCGTGCATCGACACGCGGACGGCCGTCTTGGGCCACGCGCTCGACTCGCCCGTGTGCGTGTCGCCCACGGCGATGCACTGCATGGCCCATCCCGAAGGAGAGCGCGCGAGCGCACGCGCTGCGGCCCGAGCCAACGCGTGCTATGTGCTCAGCACGCTCTCGACCACCAGCCTCGAAGACGTGGCGCACGCGCAGGAAGCGGCGACGCCCGACGCCCTGCGCTGGTTTCAGCTCTATGTGTTCAAGGACCGCGCGCTGACGCAGGCGCTGGTGCAGCGGGCCGAGCGCGCGGGCTACAGAGCTATTGTGCTGACGGTCGACACGCCGCGACTCGGCCATCGAGAGCCCGACGTGCGCAACGGCTTTCAGCTGCCGCCGCACTTGACAATGGCCAACTTTGCCCACGTGGGCGGCACGTACGAGCACGGGGTCGTCCACGGCCGCCACGACTCGGGCCTGGCGCACTACGTGAGTGAGCTGTTTGACCCGACGCTCAATTGGCGCGACGTCCAGTGGCTCCAGCGCATCACGACGCTGCCCGTGGTCGTCAAGGGCGTGCTGAGTCCCGAAGACGCGGCGATGGCCGTCGACATGGGCTGCGCAGGCATTTTGGTCTCGAACCACGGCGCGCGACAGCTCGACGGCGTCGCCGCGACCATTGACGCGCTGCCTGCGATTGTCCACGCTGTTGCAGGTCGAGCCGAAGTGTACATGGACGGCGGCATTCGTCGTGGTACGGACGTGTTCAAGGCGCTGGCGCTGGGAGCTCGGGCCGTTTTCATCGGCCGTCCTGTGCTGTTTGGTCTCGCCCACAGTGTACGTGGACAAGAAGCGTCGGTGTCTATCGGGCTTCTTACCTGCTGCTGCTGTGGCTGCTGCTGCTGCTTGTTGTGCTGCTTGTGTTGTCACGCTAACGATGGTGTGTTTTGTGCCTTGTGTCGCTGTTTTGCACGCGTTGACAGGGGGAAGCCGGGGTCGCGAGTGTCCTTCGGATCCTGAATGACGAACTGAAGCACGTCATGCTCTTTTCTGGAACGGCGTCGCTCGCTGACATCGGGTGCGTGTTTGTCGTGTATTTTTTGGCGTCCGCATAGACTCTTGACGCTCACACATTGAATTGCAGGACAGCGTACGTTCGTCGTGGCCCAGCGCCACTTCCCTCGTCTCTATAGTGGCGACGTGGTCATTGGATCTTGGACGTATGTGTGTATGTGCACGGAGGTGGTAAAGCGAAGACGGATTGAAGGAACTGTTGCCTGTGGACCGATTGTTTGCTATTGCATACTCGATTGTCGTCACGTGGGCAGAGAAGATGTCAAGTGCAACGAGGTCACAGCGACGCTTTTGTGAGGTGCTGCAGCACGCGTCAGTAGCGAGACGATGTGACGACTTGCATCTCCACGTCTGCATGTCGGCAAGCTCAGTGTGCCCGAGAACCCGTCGCGAGCTTCATTCGGTCCCTCGCTGACAATGCAACGACCGCCGCTTGCTCTGCTCGCGAGATATCCCGAGTTGCACACGTGCAGCCATGACAGGATTGATCAAAGCTTCATGTGCGCTGCAGATCGGAACGAGATAGCTGAAGACGACGGAATGGAGACTCGGGGCTGGAGCCGTCGAGACGTCTGTGCCACGACGAAACAGACCCACCATCCAGCTGCCGGGCTCCAGTGCTGACCGCGTTCCGACTATTTCTAGCACGGAGAATGCGCTCGTAACGATCAGTTGCTCTGTGATAACTCGTGAGCTCAACTGCTGGCTGACCAGGTCGTTCACATGGCCTGAAGAGCGATTGAGGCAGTGTTCAGAGGACCTGGTCACTTTGTAATGACAATAGACGAGATTCGCACCCTCCCCGATTCCAAAACGCATGTCCAATGCGCAAAGCAAAAGCGATGTCGTATTCAGCGTAGCACGAGTCGGCACGTCCTTAAGTTCTTGCTCTACTAGTCCAGGGCTGTTTCCTATCAGGGTCCATTCACCCTACTGCGTCGGTGGTGTCGAGTGCGACTCGGTCGAGTCAGCCTGTGCAGGAGGACTGTCTTCTTCTTGCTTTTCTTCCGATGTCGTCGTCGTAGGCAAAGTGGTGGTCCTGGCCGTCGTCGTGGTCGTCGTCGCCACGGTCGTAGTCTTCGTCGACTGGTCTTCACCTGTCTTCGCAACCTTCTGCGCAGGCGCACTTTCCTCCACGACGCCACTGCTCGACGGTCTCTTCGTCAACGCACTTCCCACTGCATCGATAGCGGCTGGAGCTGCTGCACCCGCCGCAGAAGCACTCGCAGCGCCATCCCCGCCGGCAGCAAAACGCGCAAGACGCTGACTGCGACGCAGTGATTCCGGTGGCACACTTTCTCCAGCAAGCGACAGATGCGGGAGCGGCGAAGCACCTGGAGATGGAGGTGACGGAACAGGCAGCGAGATGCCCGGCTTGCCAAACACGAGCCCACTCGGCCCTCCCGAGCCGAACGCACCAAAGCTTGTACTAGCACCAACATTGAACGGTCCGCTGCTCTCCGAAGACACCGTCTCACTTCGCGACACAGGCTGGGCTTCTACGTCAGCAGGAGGTACAGGTGCCTGCGCGGGGACCAAGCGAGCGGCACCTTCCACCTGTTTCTTGATGGACCGCAACGCAAACTGGCGAAGCGTCTCCTCGGCCGTCATTCCATCGGCTTTTTCCGCGGCTTTTTCGATCGACTCTTTCGGACGCGCTTCCGTCGAGGGTGCCACCATCGTCGGCACGAGTGCAGCGGCAGGAGTCGGCTGAACGGGAGCTGGGACAGTAGGCATCGACGTCGATGCATTCGCAGGAGGCACGGAGGTAGGCATCGCATTGCTGACAGTAGTGATCACCATCGTAGATACCGCACTCACTGACGAAGTTGGAGCAGACGAAGGGGCAGCATGGGCAGCAGGGACAGCTGCAACACTAGACTCAGTCACGCTTTTGTCAGCTTCAGATGACACAGCATTCCGTCGCTCCTCGACCGGTTCGGTCTTGATCGTCGGTGTTGGAGACAAAAACAGCGGAGTGGGAGCTGACGCCGGTTTTGCCGGCGAAGCGACTGTCGTCGTTGTCGTCGTCGTCATCGCAGCGGAAAGAGGCACCTGCGGAGGCGAGGGAGGAGGTGAAGGCTTGGGCGTTTTCTCAGACGCCCCGACGAGCTGTGAAGCGCTCGCTGCATGATCCTTCAAATCGCTGTTTTCCTTCTTGAGACTTCTCAGACCCGACATGAGTCGCGCGTTGAAATCCTTCAGCTGTGAACTCTTTTTCGTTTCTAGCTCCAACTGAGTCTTCAACGCCAGGCGCTCTTTTTCCCAAGACGTGGTCGCACCGCTCGCTGCTACAACACTCTCCTGTTTCGCCGCCTCGCAAGCAGACAACTTCGCTTCCAGTGCAGCCTTTTCAGTCGCCACAATGTTCACTTGCGCCTGCACAGAGCTAAGCCTGGCCTCCAGCGCAGAAATGGTGCTTGTGCGATCGTCCATTTCCTTGTTCTTTTCGGCAAGTTGCTTGGTCAGCATCTCGGCTTTGTTCTTCCAGTTCTTCGCAAACCCCTTGATTCGTTCGTACTGCTTGGTCCAATTCTCGACCTTCTTTTTCTCCTCTTCCAGCTCTTTACCCCCACAAGAACGCAGAGTCTCGAGCTCGTTCTTTAGAGCAGTTTGTTCGGCCTTTAACTCCGCAAGTTCCTTCGTCAAGGCTTCCTTCTCAGCAACGACCTTGTCGTGCTCAGCTGGATCAATCTGCTGATACTTCTCGACCAACTGATCGACACGCTGTTTCCAGCGCTTGTTGGCGTCGTTCAGCGTTTCGACCTCCTGCTTCAGCGACGCCACTTGCATTTTCAGAGCCGTCTCAGCATTCTGCAAGGGCACTAGCTTGGCCTCGAGGCTTCGCACCTTCGTCGACTCTTCCTTGAACTTTGCCAAATTCTTCTGGTTCTCATCACGCAGCGTCGCATTGCTCTCACGCAGCAGACTCAACTGTTCGAGCTGGGCAGCACGCTTTTGGTCATCTGGAGAAACCACTATCGTTTGCTTGTCAGCTGCTGTTGCCGAATCAGTTAGCGCCTTGATCTCGCCACGAAGACGTTTGATCGTAGACTCCAAGCTGAAGACTTCGGCGCGGCTACGCTGCACTTCTTGTTGAGATAGCTCGAGCTTCGATTCGGTGATCTCACTTTCCCGCCGCAAGTATGCAACCACGCTCCGGAGATCGTCAATTTCTTTCTCGTGCACGCTGGGTGCAACAGCGCCTTCGCCAGCCTCTTGGTTCGACGCTGACGCTTGTCCGTTCACCATCTTGAGCATGTCCTGTTCATGGGCGCGACGCACTTGAGCGGCCGCGCGCTCAAGCTGAGAGTGCAGCAACTTGTTCTGCTCAGCGATGGCATTCTTGGCTTCGACCGCTTCATCGACACGCTTTTGGAGCCTCTCCAACTGAAGCTGTGTCTCCTTCTCTACCAACTCTACCTTCACATTCAGCGCTTCGATTTCGGCCTCGCGTTCACGAACAGTCTTTCGGACTTGCTCCACTTCCCGACGAGCCGTCGACGACTTCGATACTTCCACCGCGTGAAGCTGCAATTCGCGCTCATAGTTTTCCCGCGTCGTCTCCAGCTCATTCTTCATCTTCACCATTTCTTCACGCGCACTGTTCATCTGTTGCGTGGCACTGTCGGCCTGTAGCTGTAGCATTTTTTGCTTCTCTGTGGCTTCAGCAACCGATTGCTTGTGCGTTTTCTCGGCTCGATCGATCTCTTCCCGCAAGCTGTTGTTCTCGACGACATGCTCCTTCAAGTCCACACGTGCCTTTACCAGATCTTCTTTCAATTGAGCACGGGACTTCTCAAGCTCTTGCATCTTCTCGGCTTCGCTTTGTTTCCATTTCTCACTCGCGCTTGACAACTCCGCCAGACTCTTTTCACTCGCTTCAGCCAAAACCTTGTACTTTGTCAAGCTTTCGGTAAGCGTCTTTCGTGACACAAGCGACGCTTGCACTTCGCGCTGAGCGTCGCGTAGTTGGACCTCCAACGCTGCCACGCGTTCAGCAGCTGCGACACCTGCCCCCTTTCGTAGCTGCTCACGCATGTGTGCGGCCTCCTTTTCCAGCAAAGCGAACTTATCGTCTAAAGCTTTTTTCTGCTCTTCAAGCCGCGCAAACTGTTCTTTCAATTGACCATGGGCCTCCTTAAGCTTCGTTAGTTCACTCACTGCTGCTTGCTTTTCCCTCTCAACAGCCAGAACTTGCGCTCCGCAAGTGGCTTCCTTCGCATCAAGCTTTTCGTATGCATCTTGCAGTTTCGTCTCGAGTGTCGTCACTTTCTTTGACAAAATCTCCACTTCACGGCGGTCACGCTCCTCGCGCCCACTTTCCATGCGACGCGTCGACTCCATGAGTTTTAGCAAATTCGTATTGTCCAAGCGCACCGTGATCAGCTCTTGCTGGATCTTCTCCTCATTCTTGCGCAAGAAGTCAACCTCACGGACAGCCGAGTCTCTTTCGACTGTGAGACTCTGTACGCGCAACGCTGCAGATTCCAGCTTTGCCTCGCTTTTCGAGAGCATGTGCTGATGCTGCAACATCAGTGAGCTCAACTGATCCGTCTTCGACCGCAGACGTGCGAGCTCGTTCTCGGCGTTGGCGCATCGTTCCTCTGACGCTTCGTAGCGCTCTCTATTACACGCAGCTTCCACCTGAGCTTGCATCTGCGCCAACCGTGACTCCGAGCTTCTGGCACGTTCTTGGTCCAGAGCTTCCTGTAGCAGTCTCAGATTGGTCTGCTTTTCCATTTTGTAATCCTCAAACTCCGTTTGCACCTCACGAAGTTTATCGCTTTCGATCATGTCAAATGGACCACGACGATTGCCCGCCGACGAAGAAGTTTCTAGAGCACCCACACTGCTAGCACTAGCGCCACCTTCCACGAACTTGGTATCGGATTGGGCTAGCAGCACACGGTACATATCACGCTGCTTCACAATTGCTGAGATCATCTCGCGCTCCTGTTCTCGCTCGTTGCGCAGTTCCTGAATCTCTTTGGAAGCCATCGATAACCGCTTCTTGATCGCGCTGGAGGCACCGACTTCGTCAAGATTATCATCCAAGTCACTAGCAACGATCACATGTGCAGTCGAGTCTGCAGATTCGGTACCGCTCTTGCTTGCCGTGGACTTGTTCATCTCAGTTAGCTCGCGAACGACCGTCAAGAGCTGCTGGTTCCGCACTTGCAGCTCCTTTACATCCTTGAAAACCAGCAGATTCTCGGATCCGACATCGCCGGATTCGAAATTGTCTGGGCGTTCAAACGAACCCTGGGCGCGGAAAAGCAAGTGCTGAACTTGGCGTGACAGGTCGTCGACGCTCTGGCCAAGCAATTCACACTTCTTTTCAAGCGCGAGTTTTTCCTCCCGCGCATGCTGCTCATTGGTTTTGCCCTTCGCCAACTCTTGCATGCACTGCTCCAATCGCTCACTCAGTTGTGTGTGGCTGGCGACAATGCGCTCGTGATCTAGCCGCAGGCCCATAAGAATTGGTGCCTTCTCATGTATCTCCTTCACAATGCGATCCATGTACAGTTGCACTTTGTCCTTCTCTTTGCGCTCCGCTTGGAGAGTCTCTTCTAGCTTGACAATCTGATCGTACATTTGCGTAGGCGTCAATCCATGCGCAGCCAAGTGAGCTTCGCTTACAGTCAAAGACAGTTCGGCCGCAGCACTGGCTGTCTGCAATGAGAAGACCTTTTTCTTTTCCATCTCTTCGGCTTTTTGCTTGGCGTGCTGCAGATCGTCCTGAAGTGCCTGAATACGAGCCTCGGAAGCTTCCGCCTGCTCTCGGAACAAGTGCTCGACCTGCTTCTTTGCTTGTTCTGTCTCACGCGCCAGCGCTTGTTCCGATTCTGATAGCGACTCGCGCAGCGAATCACACACTTTTTGCAGCTCTGTGACACGAGCAGAAGCCTCCGCTGCTGACTCCTGGTACAACGAAGCCAATCGACGCTGCGCGTTCAGCTCGTTTTGCAGCACTTCTTCGTCGTGCAGCTTGGAGGCCTGTAGCTCTTTCAGCGCCACTGTGCTCTTGACCAACGCGCCCTCCATCTTCTTGTTAGTCAAACGTGCACTCTCTAGCTGTCGCTTCACTGACGTGAGCTCTTCCGTGCTACGAATCTTGAGCTCCTCCAGGTCGTGCGTGTGCTTAGTCAGCTCGTGTCGCAGCTCCTGCACCGTCCGAGTCTTCTCATTCAGCTGCGTCTCGAGCCACTGCGAGTGCTGCTGAGCAGCTTCCGTCTCTTTCTTGGCCCGCGTCAGTGCGTGCATCAGCGGCGCTACCTGCGCTTCCTGCTTGGCCGCGCGCTCCAGCGCTTGCATTTCCTGGCGCTGGGCATCGACCAGTGCTTTGTTTTGCTCTCTGACTGTAGTCTGAAGTTCCTCGACTTCGGCTAGTCGACGCTCAGCCAGAGACGTCGTCGTTTGGAGCTTGAACGTCAGTCCATCCTTTTCGGTCGTCACCTGCAGCAGCTGTTGCTTCAATTCCCGCGCCTCCTTTTCATGCTCCTCGGCAAGTGCAGCCACACGCTCTGCTTTTTCCACTACAGTTGCAGGTTATCGCCCCAATTAGTATACCAGAACGACGTCAAGAACACAAAGTCAGGTCAACAACGGCGTACGAGCTGCTTGTTTGTCGGCTGCCAGTGTCTGGCGCTCGCTCTCGACAAGGGCAAAGTCGCTCTTGAGGCTCAGGTACTTGCTCTCCAGGTCATGCAGCAGTTGCTCTGGTGCACCAGTTTAAACGTTAAAACATTAGTTTTGACAGACAGACTAAGTAAAAACATCGAGCGGCGGCGCAGCGCGAGACCAACGCTGCTGCGCCACAAATGGCCATGTGTAGAGCACAATAGGATGCAGTTTCGACACAGGAGCAGTGAGGGGGTAGGGACAAGACACGCACACGCACCCTGATTGATGCAAGAGGCGGCCAACGCGGCCGCGTCGCCTCCCGACGCCATTGATTGAGTTGTTTAGCGCCTCAAGAAACTATCAACTGCGATATGGCATATAATACGGATCTTTTAATCTCGCGGCCCGCGGACGAACTTTCCAGATAGAAATATGGTGAATCGTTTCTAAAATGTCAGGTTGGGGTGGACGATGTCGGTTGCAAAACAAGGTATGGGTGGACGGACATTGTCGGTGCATGCGCGTTTGCTGCGAGGAATGTCGCATTGGGCTACACTAATGTTCTCGATCGCTACGATGTACCAATATATATGCTGGACCGAAAGAGCAAAAAAGAGAGTCTTGGTAGCGTCTCATGTGGATGCACATACTCATCAACCGTATCTTCTTTATGACGAACTACGGCTAACTAACCAAAATGCTCGTGGCTTCAAGCCACAAGGAATACACGAAATTCAGCCTGGCGAAAGACAGCACTGAGGCGGCGAATGCTTGCGAGGTGTAGTCCCGAAACGCATGTAGAGAGGAGAAAGGATCAAATGAACTGCGTATAGCATGGAGGCGGCTGTGGGTTTAAGAGCGTGACACGGAACATTCCAGATTTCTTTATGAAACTATGCGTCATCCATTTCCAGTATTTTACCCACACAACAGGCTAAATCCAACGAAATTGCTCGGAATGAGGATGCACGGCAAACGAGAGCCAGCGTGGTGACTGTGCATGACATATTTGTACTTAGTGTGAATACTGTTGGAATCTGAATACATGTATGAAGCTCCGCTTCACCTTCATCTTCAGCATGGCTGAGATCCATCGGTTCTGGCTTACAGCAAGCCGAGGTGCTCGCAGAGGTTGCCCTCGCAAAGCTTGGGTTGTACCCATTCCAACCAAGTCTGGCCGACTTGAAGGTGTGCTCAGCATTTTGAGCGATGCTAACAGCTTTCTCAAGAGTATAGGGATGGAACCGAAAGACCTCGATCTGTCAACGCCATTACGAAGACCTTCCATAAAGACAGTCCCACAGACTGTCTCAGGGAGAGGGTCAGACTCCATAGCAGCCATCAGAGTTATCAACTCTTGAACATAGTCCGTTAACTCATACTTACCCTGACAGGTAGACAAGAAGCGTGGGCGCACGCGATAAGCCTAGTTAGGCGGCGAGAAAGCTCGCAAAACGTCTAACCTTAGCGAATCCCATGTGGGAAACGCCAAGTCGACCGACATGCCACACGCCAGAGCCCACTTTCTAGCTCTTCCATCGAGCTTGGAGATAGCCAGCGAGACCCGCTGATACTCCAGTGAGATAAGGCTAGAGTTTATGGCCATCTCAATCTCGCGGATCCAGAGAGTCAGGTTTTCCCTCTCCTTCCCGGAGTAATGTTTAACGTCCACCCGAAGGGGATGAGGCTTAGTCTCTTCATCTCGCATCGCCACGTAGCGTGTTGGCATAGCCGACGCTCCTTGGTTTTGAACCTGCCCTAATAGGGCCGTTTCATACGGCATGAAGGTCTCGACTCGTGCATTGAGCACATCGGAACCTTGTGCAGCTAAAAACTCCACATACTCTGGGCCTACGGCCGCGGTCAGCTTCTCTAGCGCGACCTTTTGGGCTTCAGAGAGGGGTGTGGATTGCTCCATCCTCACAGAGAGTCAGTCGTTACCGACTCAGGTGTAGATTGACTACTAGTGCTACCAAGTTTAGCGGAGCTACACAGCTCCTTAAGTCAGAGAAAGACTTAACGCTCTAACGAGAAACTTTGGTTCTACGAACCCGACTTAAAGAGTCAACAGCTCCGAGAGCTAAGGTTTGGTTCAAAGAACCCGACTCAAAGAGTCAACAAGCTCAGAGAGCTTACGGTCCCTGTTCCAGGGGGACCAAACAATTCAAAGAATCAAACGCACTGAGTGCACAAGGAGTAGATGCCTTAACAAGGCGTTGCTACTTCCTTATGATCGCAAGACGCCTCAGAGAGGCACGTGTCTTTTGTTGATCAAAATGGGAACTGAATTTTATTTCTTCTTTTAACCTAAAAGAACACCTTAGAACAAAGCAAATAACCTACTCACTTATGTCTTAAATAAACCTATTAAAAGATCTTGTAATCAATGGTTGACAGACATCAGTCTTCAACAATTGATACTTGTGTTCTAATATTAATTTATAGGGGATCCCATCCCTTGTGTGTACCACACCTATTGTCGACTACCAGTCGACGTGTAACCTCGTTACACACCGGACGTTAATCCGAAAGTCTCGACGAAGCAGATGATGCAGCGGACCCATCAAAACCGCACGAGAAAAGGCAGGTGTGGTACGGCGTGAAGAACCATACAATGTTCGAGCCGCAAAAGCTTGTTCTAAAAGGTCGATGAGCCACCGAGTAACATTACATTAGGGAAGCTTATTGCAAGCAGCGGACACTATCGCGAATTCGGTTCCATATCTCGTGGTCCTAATCCAGAAACGGCCACGCCAACCGTTTCATCCACAGCGAGCTTTAGATCCATCGGGCACTAAATATTAACTTTCACTCTTGCGGAACTTTGACTTAATGTTGTAAAGTGCCGAAATTTATTGCTGAGAACGAGGAATAAGCGACATCTTGTCCAGCACACATACTCTCCAGAAGAGACATTATGACGTTTTCACGTCCGGGCGTCGACTAAAGTTATACAACGTCGCTTTCTTTTTCTGACTGGGAAAGCTACATCCGGGCCAAATCAGTCTCAGGAATTGGCTGATGATATTGCCGACGGATGCGAGCGTTTTATGACGTTTTTTCTTGCCCCGACGCGATCGACGCATTTCCTGCCAAGGCCGCCCCGCCGGACCGGGTTGATGGCACTTCCGTGACGTCGAATTTTTCTCCAGACATTGCGAGCGCGATCGCAAGAGATTCAGATGTGTCAAAGCCGCGGGATCTGATGAAATCAACAATATGATACAGAGATTTTGCAGATGCGCTCGCGTCTGTTCTCGCTACACTGTAAAATAGATTTTTTAAGTGCAGCGTATAACCGACATCGTTAGGTAAAGCTAATGCTTAGTCTTACAAAAAATCGATGTCCTTCGTCTTGCCGCTCGATCATCGCCCTATCGCGAGAATCAATAGCGACTACGAGGTATTTACCAAGATTATCTAATTTCGGATGCAACCGATAAATTCGCTAACCTACCGAATCTCCTGACAAATCGGGCAACAAAAATAGTCGTTAAGCTTTAAAATCGCGGATTTGTACTGCCTCTAGGCATATGTGGTCTCACTCTGCACTATTCCAGCGACTACTGCCGGTAGATTGGTGTCCTGGTGGGACAACATAATGCGGTGGCTGATAACTGAAACAAGTGCATTCGTTCTCTCCGAAGCCGACTTGTCCTACACCGAGAGAAGGATATCACGGTAAAACAACGTGCTCATCCTTTTCAGTTCCATCGCGGTGCCCAAATAAGCTTCTTAGCAGGCACTATTGGACTCGTCTCGCCGTAGGTACCCGGTTGCGCATATTGACTATGCTTTGTCTTAAGCGTTCTCGACAACGAGAAGTACCAACCCTGGGGTCCCTTCCGGGATGACTACACCACCTATAAATTAGTGTGGACTAGCGGTACAGTGTATTCGAACAGAAATGATGCACATGGTGGCGATGGCACTTGTACAGTGAGCCACTACTGTTTAATTGCGAGACTTACTCATTGATATTTCTCCAAGTGATCGAGGGTTTACCATTGGAAATTACGTAAAAGTCCGTCTTCTCCACACGTTCACCCGTTAGTCTAGTTTCTTTAGCATGACTCCTCCGGGAGATAATCCATTTCAGTTTGCTTCGGATGGGCTGCCATCGTCGACGTCCAGATCACATGTGTTCAACGCTCGTAAGTTCCTAATGCGCTCCAGAGTGGACAGGAGTCCCACTGGGCGTTTACCCGGCTGTAATGCATGCAAACATTAACTATACTGGGGTCAACCGCATTCCATGCCCGTATCCAAATGTGTCAGCGATGTACCGTCACTAGTGAGAAGCCAGTCATGAAATTGGTGCACCGTCTAATACGCAAGCAATGAACCGCTTCAAGTGCCCGATATTCCAGTGCTTGAAGTTGTACAAAGGGCACGGCAAACGGACCCAAAATGCCGCCGCTTTGACATAGATTGGGTTTCCATGTCACTCGGGGGCAAAATCAAGACAATGTTACTCTGAATGATTACCAATACATGGTGTCTCCAGTGAAGTTCCGTCCCTGCGCAAATTGAGATCCGTTCCATAGATATACCTGACCCCATTGATGCTTCAGCCACGACACACCCTTGAACGTTGCGTGGAGCAGCTATCAATGGTCAATTTGCCCTGACGACGCTACTTGAGATCTTATCACCTAGTTTGTCATCAATCACCCGTCGATCATCAATTGTGACACTACCGTTGCCATTATAGTCGACCTCGGCTCGCGACATAAAGGAGATAGATCGTCGGCAGATCGCCCTAACATCATTTTGGCAAAATATCGACTCATTGGTGCCCCAGTTCCCGAAACTGCTGAGAATTTGGGCACCAATGAGTCGCTGAATATCAAGGGTGCTTGTCTTCCGTCCCATAAGACGTGATGTGGGCTGGACCCGAATTGAGATGTGGACATATCACGTCGTTGTATGGGAACAGACGTTGTGACAGTTAGCACTGGTAATATCGTTACGTAGGAACGGAGAACACCGTTAGGATAGTAAACACTACCAGTTGGAAACACCTCAAGCAATTTAGTCTTCAATTGGTCTTCACGTGCACAAGTATATCAGGTCGGATTCACATTCTAACAGGGTTATGATCCCGGAACTGATGAAGCACACGAGTGACGACTTTCCAAAAATCTGGGATCGCAAGGATTGGCAGACGTAAAAATAGGCGATGATAACTGTCTTTACGGAGAACGAAAGTTATTATCATGATAACTGAGAACGACCTCAACAATGTTGCAGTCGGTGACCTGACACAAGTCAATGATTGCTACTGCTAGCGCAGGGAAGCAAGAAGAGTTCGTGAAAGAGCAGCTTA